CTGTATGTTTTAAAACTATTTTATACAATTTGTTGGGAAAATGTTGCTCCTTTCCCTCAGTTCTTTCCCAGCAAGGTTAGCTGTGGATCTTGCAAATTTATACACAGTTTTATATTCTACATCTGCTTCAAAACACAAATCTAAAAATCAATAACAGAACTCTTTCTTTACTTGATATCTTAATTCCTAAATACCTTTCTAGCCTTCTTTATTGCAGCCTATTTGATATTTCAAAATCTTTGCTTGGATATGCAGCACCTACACCTTGTTTTACCAAGAAGCTGAGCAAATCCACATGGAAGTTGCAAAAAAATAACAGAGCAGCACATTAAGAGGTTTTGTACAAGCTATAGCTTAACTGAACAAACAAAACAAACAACCTCAATGGTTTTGTTGTGCATGAGATGGCAAAATAGCCAAAGTATTCTTCAATAAAAGGAACTGTCTGCCACGATTTATCTGTACAATTCTATCACAGCTCTTGCCTGTTATGTTACACTTTTCAAAAATATGTCATTAAGCTGCTATAAAAGTCATCACAAATTGCTTTTTCTCCCAAACTGATAATAGACTTATAGATCTAATTTTCAATCTCTTTTCTTCATTACTTTGATTCTTAAGGAGAGTATGACATTTGCTGTCTGAATACTTTGTAGTACTATCTGGCATCTCCACAGCACTTCTGTCTGAAGATCTCTGAGCTTTTAAGAGGTTTGTCTTCACAGCACCTTGAAATGCTGACACATTTATTTGTCTCTCTTGCCAGCTTTTAAGGAAATTGTTTTTATAATTTCACTCAAAAACTACAAGACCTGTTAAAAAAAAAAAAGACACAACAAAGCCTTCACAAATCAAGAGACTGATTCACAGAAACAACTAAGTAATTGAGAAAACACCAACAAATTAAGAATTAGATTTGGATTTCTTATGGTGATTCCTCCTCTTCTTTTTTTGCCAGTGCACATATGAACATTTTTTCTGGTCATACAGGGCTTCATATGCATCAAACTAAATTCAGTGCTTGAAAGTGGCTTTGCTAATGAACTGTCTCTGTGACAAAGCAGGAATAGGCTGGTTTGGAAATTTGCTTGCAGGGTTCATGAAAGTAACAGATAGGAAGAGATCACAAGAGGAATGATAGAAAGTGAAGAAGGATAAATAGAGAAGAAAGTAAAGTTGAAAGAGAGCCAAGAGAACAAACTGCATATTGTACACAGACCAGAGAGAGGAGCTGAAGAAACCTATGAATGGGTCACAGAGTAAATTTTTGGCCCTACTAGACAAGTTGTATTTCTGCTCTTCACATCAAGAACAGCTACTTCCACCTAAACCATAAATCATCTTCCTCTCCCCCAAAAACCCAAGATTTCCAGAGAACACGAGAAATTTCCTTCCAGTGCTTACATCTCTCATTTACCAACATCTCTCCTGGACAGAATAATCCTAGCTAGATCTCCGGTCAGAAATTTTAATCTCCACCACATCATCTTCCAGCAACCACAGGTAAGTATCTTACAATGATGCAAACCAGATGTCTTCAAAACATGGTAATTATACCACACTGCTAATACACAAGTTACTCTGAAGCAGAGCCTCTGTCTTGAACCTCTGCTGCTGCCACTGCCAGAATGTTAACATTTTCCACAATTACCCCAGTTCATTAAGAATTCTTGGTATCAGCTTTGGTGGCCACACCTGCCTTAGCCAACAAAAGCAGAACGTTTATTTTGTGTCCTCAGGCATGTATCAATTAAAAGAAAACAGATGAGGGATAACAAAAATGTCTCCGTTTTATCATCTCTCAGCCAAATTTTCCAATTAATATGCACCAAAGTCTACCACTATCTAATGATGTCTATTTTATTTCTAAGCACTTGACCAAATACTTAATCACCAATAAAATTAGGTCTTACACAAGGTTTATCAGCAGTGATCTTCACAAAGTTGCTATTACCCATCACAGCTAACCCCAAAGTCCTGATACCTCACTCCGTTTTCCCCAAGAGGTTAATGACAGAGCTAAAAACAGTCCATGTTTCCTCAGCCCCCAGATCAGTACTACTTCTACCAAGACACAGTGCCTGACATTTCTTTGAGAATTACCCAAGTCCAAACTGACATTCAACACTCACTTCTACTTAGACAAAGAAAGCCTGAAAGCCTCTAGACTCCCATAACACAGTCAACTACCACAGCTCTTATGTGCAGTGTTTCAAGACATCCAAAGAGGTCTGCAGAGCACTTACTGAGGATGTGCCTGTACTCCACACAGCAGCAGGACACTTCTCAGACTAATTAGTTCATGCGGAGCTTCCTCACTATATTGCTTCTGAGCAAGCTCATTTATCTTCATATTACATTATGCAGTGCAGATACACCCTCAGACAAATCAATTGCTCTAGGTAAGGGATACAGACTTGATCAGGCAAAAGCAGTTTAAGAAACATTATCTTGACCAAATGCTCCCACAGTACAAATCACTTATATTTCCAGTTGACTCCCAGGTCTAATTTCTTCACATATCAGAAAGGATTCAAATTAAAATGGGAACAAAATGCATTGTTCTGCTCATGTCAGAAAGAGAAACGCATCAATAACAGCTTAGGTGAAGTTTGGCAAGGAGAGGTGTGAGACAGTTTTCTCCCCCGGTGTGAGTGATGTGATTTGCTGCTCTTCAGAATAAAAATTAGTCTGAATGACAGAGAAGCATCAAATTCCAAAAAGAGGTGCACATTGAAAGCTAGCTCAAGTTAGGCAATAAGTTTTCCACACACTTTGGATACACTGAGTGTGTTTAAAAGGTGTCTCTCTTTTACACACCTTAGAGCCTGAGAACTCTCAATTCCCAAGATGCAATACTTGACTCACTGTGTCTCCACTGTCAGCAACTACCTGTAAAAATCGCTACAAGGTATGCATTTGCACATTCTTCCCACACCAGTTTGGCACAGGAGAATCAGAGGTTTAAGCTTATCTTGCCAGTGACTTATACAATTACTCACACAAGCCTCACATAATAGAAAGTATCTGTTTTTCAGCTGGTATATAATACACACACTCTCACCACCCCAGAACAACACTACCACAAAAAAGTGCACTCTAATGACCAAGAAACTAAAGTACCTCTCTCCCTCCTGCCCAGAAGTGTTGCAATATATTTCTTTCAACTCACCAGTCATATTGTATTTTTTTCCAGAGGATCTTTCCCCCTTTCTAAGGATAGCACAGACAGTGCTAACACTGAATGAGCACTCAGTCAATACTTCATTTCAGACTCACTGTTCACCATGTGGCATCTTTGTATAATTTACAGCATCTACACCTAGAATCAAAACTAGGAAACTTCTCATTTCCCTGATCACTATTATCCACCTGAATTATTTCCTTACACAAACTGGGAGACAGTGATGTGCAACAGGATTACCTGTAATTAGAGATGGTTGACTTGAAATGCTTTGGGTCTCTCTTCAGAGGATAGAGCAATTAAACAGCACTTTGTCAGTACAAAGTACAACTTCAATCTATTGCAGTGCTGTCATGTGTTTTCAAAGCTGACATTAATCAGTCCCAAGAGTCTGAACTTGGAAAATGAGAAGTTCACAACTAATGGCCGTATTTTAAAAAGTGGCTGAAGTGACTCACCCAACCTCATACAGGAGTTCTGGGGCTGAATTAAGATTCCTTTTTAAGTCTCCAAACCAGCATCCCAACAGCCCTAGCATTAAAACCCATCTCTCAGTGCCAGTTCTCTCCCATCCTCACATAGTAGGTCTCATCCACCTTCAGCAGTTATGCTGAAGCAGATCTAAAGGAAACAACCACATTAATTAGCACAGCTGGATTAATTTCCTAAATGCCATTTACCTGGCCTTCCTGAAAATAGCAAGTGCTTTGTGGATAAAGAAAGAGTTCGAAATTACATCAGCATATGCCATTTTAAGGCAGAAATTTAACATGACCAAACTGAGTTTACACTAACAACTTTCATTCCAGCATTTGCTATCTGTGGAGAACTTCGCATTGCATCACCATCAGAGAACTCCATGTTCCCTGAATTTTCATTTCTACAATTCTACAAGGCCTCTTAGAACAAAACACCATCCAAACAGTCTCCGCAAGGACAGATTTTCACCACAAAGCTAACAGTCTATGAGATAACCAGTACACAACACAGGAACATTATATGACTAGGAATTATATATACATATACATACATATATAGAGAGAGAATCATAGGATCAACCAGGTTGGAAAAGACCTCCAAGATCATCAAGTCCAACCCTACCGTGGTCACTAGCCCATGGCACTAAGTGCCACATCCAGTCTCAGCTTGAAAACCTCCAGGGATGGGGAATCCACCATCTCCCTGGGCAGCACATTCCAATGCCTGAGCACTCTCTCTGTAAAAAATCTCTTCCTAATATCCAAGCTAAACCTCCCCTGGCAGAGCTTGAGTCTGTGCCCTCTTGTCCTGCTGCTGGTTGCCTGGGAGAAGAGACCAACCCCCACCTGACTCCAACCTCCTGTCAGGGAGTTGCAGAGGGTGAGAAGGTCTCCCCTGAGCCTCCTCTTCTCCAGGCTGAACACCCCCAGCTCCCTCAGCCTCTCCTCATGGCACTTGTGCTCCAGTCCCTTCACCAGCCTCGTTGCTCTTCTCTGGACCTGCTCCAGCACCTCAATGTCCCTCCTGAACTGAGGGGCCCAGAACTGAACACAATATATATATATATGCAGCAACAAGCAGAAATCCCCTAACACTGATTTCTATCAGAAACCTTTCTATCACCTCAGAAAACTGAGCTTCTTTCAGTTTGACCAGTGCCAGTTTCTTTCACTTCAACCCCAACATAATACCCAAGCTTTAACTCTAGAATTGTCTCCAGACCACAACAGCATCACTTTGCAGTCTGTGCTTTGCCACACGAGTCCATCATAAATGAATATTTGTTTGAACATCTGTTTAAAAAAATAAAGCATTCAAAGACAAAATGAAAACTCACCTCGTTTCCACCAACAGCTTTGGTTAAAATTACAGCAGAAGACACAGGAGGTGGCATGCAGCCTACTGTCTGCAAGCTGAAAACAACAAAAAGGATGTTACATTCCTTACGTGACGCAAACACCAAGCAACCTAAAACCTTAAAATACCCAACAGCCAAGTAGAAACAGTCTTAGCACCTGAGCACTGCAGTTTGCCATCACTTACAGACCTGCACTAGCTGGCAGGACTTCTCTGCCATCTCTTACCAACCAACACATTGAAGAGTCATGTCACCATTTAAAAAGCAAAACCACCCAACCTCTCTGTGACTCTATTTCCAAATCTGTAGTACTGTATCTACCCTTCACAAAGATCTCGATACATCACAGACAACTGCATCACTAGTTCAGATGTAAAGTTTGTAGTGTGTTTTGAGCTACCTGTAGCTACTTTAAAAAAAAAGGAAGAAAATAAGGATGTAAACTCCAATTTTCCTGAAAAAGTTGTTGAGTGATAAAAACACTGCTAAGCAGAAGAGCAAGAAGAACTAAGCTTACTACTTCAGGTTCCCATTACACTCTGGTTTTCATCAAGCCCCACTGAAAATAAATAAATTACTAGATCACAATTAAGCTTTCTATACCTGAACATTTAAAGGCCATCAAATGTTTAATTTTTATACGTGTCTTCACTTCTTGGCAAAATCATCTGACTGCCACCAACACAACAAAGCTTTCTCCTGCACTTTAGAAGTCTAAGATACACTATTTTGGCTGTCATCTTTGCATTGTTTGTGCAACAAAGTTATTTATGGATATAGTGAAAGCTGTTGCAAAGTAAAGAAAGAAGTGGTGAGATTCCCTCTGCTTTCAAAGACAGTCCACAAAAACCAGTTATTACAAAAATCAGCTGTATCAAATGTATAATTAGAAACAACAAGAACATACTAACAATAGATTACAACTAAATTTGGGGCCAGGTAAAATAGAAGTTCTGAATAAAAACTGTGTTGACTTAGAAGGAGCAATAAGGCATGGAATATAATAGTTTGGAACACTCCCTAAAGCATGGAATCTAGATAAGATTTCGAGGATTGGAGTCTGAGATGGTGTTCCAGTTCAGAACAACCAATTACAAGTGGTGAACTACTTTGCACTGGCAACCCAGTCAGTCCATCCCCCAAAACTGGAGTGTCAAAGAGCTACAGCAAACAGAAGCAATAAATCCAGACAACGGGGAACATATTACAGTGCAAGTGATATTCAGCAAATATACAAAAAGCTTGAACAGAACAAACAGGTAAGTGGTAATGACAGTATTCAGTTTGTCAGCTACAGACACTGTGGGAAAGGAAAGAGGCAACCAATGTAAGCATCACATAGATCCAATTACAAAGTGCCAAGCACCACCACCTTGGAAGTACAGAGCACCTTCAGCTTAGAGGGAAACAAGCTATGGCAGCAGAAAGTTGTCAGCACTTAGCAGAATAAGCTCATACCGAAAAGAAAAGAAACACAGGGAAAAGAAATGGTGTGGAAAAGTTTGGAAACATTTAAGGAAATATAGAGCAGACAAACACATGGTGATTCTGAGGTCCATCCCCTACACTGGTTGTGACAGTTATCTCTCTTCTATGTGACAGTCAGCTACAAGGGGTGGATTAAGTTCAAAGTTATCCACAGAGGTATGAAATGTGCACAAGGGCACACAGCTCAGCTGGCAAGGATTTTCCACACTATAAAGGAAGGATTTAATAATAGAATCTCTGTTAACCATCCTAAATTTAAAATAATACATTTGGAATTAAAGTCAAAAATCACTATCATGAAATGGTTTTAAATATTCTTCATATAAAAACATTAATCTAAAAAAAAAAAAAACCTGGTACACATTAGATGGAAATACTTTTAATGGAGTGTACTGAAACATGAACTTTTTTCTTGCTCTGTATCAACTACACATGATACCAATATATAAACTGATTCCTCCAGCAGATTACTACAGATAACAATCAAACAAAACTTTTCACTAGTTCTGGCCATGCCAACATCATGCTACCATCAGGTGTCCAAACACTGCTGATAACATCACAGACAATCAAGTAGTAAGACCTGAAGTCAGTTATCTTAGATATGGAAGCTCCAAAGCCATATCTTATACCCGATCTTTGCACTTCATGCCTTAACACCTGTGCTGTAAATGCTCTAGGCTAAAAGTGGCAGAAGAGATGAATCACATAAACATAAAATTTTAAAATTTTAGGGGTTGGAATGGACCTTACAGATCATCCAGCCCCAATCCCTGCCCTGGGCAGGGACACCTCCCACCAGAACAGGTTGCTCAAGGCTTGCTTCATCCAGCCTGGTTCTGAACACTGCCAAATGTCTGGAATATCATCCCAGACAGAGAAGGGGGAAAAAAAACCCTCAACTCTAGAAACACAGATGAAAAACTGGAACCATCTAAACCAGCCTCTCAAATAACACTTTGAGTAAAACAAACCACTACAGGGGATGGGAGAATCTACCATGCATTCTGAAGCAAGACAGGAAAAGTGCTGAGGGCTGTGCCCTTCAGGCATAACCTTGTGTAGAGAGTAGTGGAGAACTCCAGGCCCCAGGGCAGCCACTCTGCCAAAGGGTGCTGCATGCTCTTGGGAACATATGCCTGTTTTCCCAGGGCTATCAACTAGCTTCCATTACAAACTGAGCTAAACATGTGATAAGCAAGTAACTTTGCCAAAACCTCTCTTGTTCCCTCCCTATTTTCATTAGGGTACTTTAATGTTTCAAAAAGAATAAAAACTACAGCTGTGGAGCATTAGGATGAACTTTCTGGTTACACAGAGCAGCCACAGCATAGGTAGTTCCTCACCTCAGCTCCTCACAACCACACAGGGACATGAGAACACCTGGAATTAGGACAGATCAGTATCTTCACCTGGACCACACTGAAAGTACAGCTCCCATCAGGCTCCCTGAGGAGTGGCTGCTGCTCTGAGCATGTCCTGAACAGCAGCATTTATCACGAAAGCACTCTTTAAAAAAGCAAAACAAAACCCAAACCCAACTGAACTGCCTTCATTAAACCCCTCAATCTGACCACTCTTTGCATGAAGCCTCAATACAACAGAGTTACTGCAGTAAAAGATAAAACACAGCTAAATGAGAAATAATACTCAAGGAACAAGTGCTTGAAAGGCAGCTTGAAATACACAGAAGTGTATCACCAGCTCACACACAAGTGTTTCTTTTTCTTCAACAAATATATACACTTTTCTAGTTTCACACAGTTTCACAGGTGTGTGTATATACATACAATTATACTTGTGCATGTAACAGATCATGTCCTATAAATACTAAGAACAAAGTGGTAGAAGAGTCATCAGAAAGAAGGGATGAGAAGCACTTCAAGGAACCAAAAACCCCACAAAAATCCCTCTCACCTTGCACTTTAGAAACTCCCATGGATTAAGAAGGAATTTTGGCTACTGTAGAAAATCATGTCTCTGCTCTAGTTGAGAAAAAACCTCACAATTATTTTACTTTAAAGAACACCTTTTACTACGAACAGCCAAATGCAACTGAACACCGTATATCAATCTTGTTACTTTCTTGTTCACTGATACTGTTCAGCTAACCTTTATATGGTGTCCTCTCAATTTCACCTTCTCACTATCCTTTAGGCCACTTGACACTTGGTGGAACACCTGGACAAGCCTCTTATGAGCAAAACAAACAGCTCTTTTAGGTTTAGGCCTTGTAAGAGCATAAACATGTGCAGGTTTTTCATTAAACTTTTAAGACAAGTAGCTCCCCAAGCAGTAAGAAACAATGGGAATTCTTCCAGCAGTTTTCTAAAACTTTTACATTCAAACATTCCAGCATAGCTGCATGGAGCTAAGTATTGACCTTCCATCCTGAAAAAAGCTTTTGATTTGTTTGATTTGATGTAGTATCCATCACTAGTACACCATCAATGCAGATTTGGAAGGGCATTGGCAGAGTACATCAAGGACCTAAAACTCACTGTTTTCATGGTAACAGTTTCTGTTCTTCTCCTACAAAAACTTTATTCTCTTTTTTTTTTCCCCCTCCCCATAATTTAGCTAGGAACAGATACTGAATCCATGCAAGAAATGCTCAATATTTATTCACTAACTTATGCTTTTCCTTCAGCATTCCTTTTCCACCCTCCCCATCATCTTTGAGACCCAACACATCAATTTTGTTTTGTGAAAGAGAAAGCTAACCTGTTACAAGCTCCTCACATTTGAGATTAACTCTCAAGGCCACGTTCCTGAAAGAATAGTCTTGTTCACAGACTTTGTTTTCAAAGTGCCGAAGCAGAAAAACAACCAGCAAAATCTGTTCACAGTACAAGAACACATTCATTGCAGGATAAGCAGCCCTTTAAGGCGACAGCTACAAATATATTTCACTCCATTATGCTTAAACATACCCTTTTAAAAGCCATTCATTTATAGGTGTGATTGATAATAGCTGAAGAAAGACCCAGATTGCTGTTGGGAAGAACACAAGTGTAAAAATCTGGACAAAAAGGTGTAGTTTCACATGCATCAAAGCACTTGTCAGCTCCTGCAAAAGAAAAAGAAGAGAGGAAGTTGCAGTCATAACAGCTGAAGTAAGATCACATTTGTGCTTTTCAAACTAGGATCACCTTTATAACACCAAGAGAGTGCGTGCCAAAAAGGCACCTTTAGGGATCATCTGATCTCCTCATTAATAATGAAGTACATCCAGGCAGCACAAAAACTCTCTCTGCTCCTGAGCATTTCTCCAAATGGGTTGTCCACCACTTCAGTAAGAGAGAAGCTCTCCTAACAGCAGCTTTCCAGCAGGCAGCCCAGCACTCTGTCACTGCTTCAGACCTCTGCCAGCTACACTGATGGCTGTTTTACTTCATTGACTCTTGATATCAAGAGGCATAAAACTTGCAGTGTGCACATGATTTCAGGTTCCTCTGTTCTAAAGAGAGCCACAAACTGTGATTCTCATTTATACTGTAAAAAACCCCAAATAGTTACATGACCAAGCATTCATTTGTGGTGGGTTGTTTTTAAAGGAAAGAATAACAAACAAACAAAAAAAGCAAAGCAACCTGTAGCAGACTTTGATTGTTTATTGTAGCAACAGATAGGAAATTCACAGAAAAAAAATATTAGGCTGATGAAGAATAGCAAAGAAAGGATACCAAGACCATAACGAGCTTGCCACAGCTAAGCCATAAATTTCAGAGGAATGAAGTGCAAAACACCACTGGAGACTCAGGAAACAATTAAGAAAATTTTAATTTTAAATAGCCTAAGTGCACTTCACAGAGGTGATCAAGCATCCTTATGGAATCCACTCTACAGTTACCTCTGTGTGTCTGTTTCTACATTTTCAGGCATTCCAAGGACCATTTATACAGGTATTTGAGGACAAGGCAGATAGGCCTTGCACATTTTAGCTCATTTCAACTCTCACAGACTGAGAATATAAATTCCCTTTCCTCTCTCAAAGTAACACACATTCTTTTCAAGCATGCAATGCAACAGGAAAGAAACTGACAGCACTGTTATTCAAATCCTAATTTTCTAGGATTCTCCAGCTATCTGACACTCCAGATGCATGAAAACATATATATATATAAAGTGTACTTTGATGCACAGTAAGGCAGCAGCCAATCTTCCAGTGCCACCCTGCCTCAGCTTCAAATCAGCTGAACTTCTATGAAACACAATCAAATACTGCATTTTTGAGCATCCAAACACCACTGACGTAACTCTACATCTGTAAGTACTAACAATTCAGCACTGTGTCCTTGTTACTTCATTTCTCTTAATAAAATTATCACAGAATCATAGGATCAACCAGGTTGGAAAAGACCTCCAAGATCATCAAGTCCAACCCTACCCTGGTTACTAGACCATGGCACTAAGTGCCACATCCAGTCTCAGCTTGAAAACCTCCAGGGACGGGGAATCCACCACCTCCCTGGGCAGCACATTCCAATGCCTGAGCACTCTCTCTGTAAAAAATCTCTTCCTAATATCCAACCTAACCCTCCCCTGACAGAGCTTGAGTCTGTGCCCTCTTGTCCTGCTGCTGGTTGCCTGGGAGAAGAGACCAACCCCCACCTGACTCCAACCTCCTGTCAGGGAGTTGCAGAGGGTGAGAAGGTCTCCCCTGAGCCTCCTCTTCTCCAGGCTGAACACCCCCAGCTCCCTCAGCCTCTCCTCATTCTTGAAGTTATACAAAACACACATCCTGATCCAGTTTTACCCAGAAAGTATCATTACATTCAGTGCTTGGTTAACTGAATGAAACAACATTTTTTTATGCAGGCAGTATCACTCTGCATGATAAAACAGACCTTCTTCACACACAACCAGTCACAGTCCTTATGGTGCCATGAATAGCTTCACTGTAGTACTGTTTCCTCTTATCTCAAAAAGAAAGCAACACTAAAACATCAACTACTAGAAACACATCCTGTGTGGGAAGAAAAGATTCCTGGAAATACCTTTATAAAAGTAGATGTTTTGAAAGTAAATAGTACAATGGAAAAAAAAACCCAAAGCAAGTGACTTCTTTCAGCAAAGCTGATAAGTCACCTCCAGCCTCAGCTCTTGTAGGGGACTGGGGCTACCTATGAGGTTACCCCCAATCTAGGCACCATCACACATACAGAATTTCATTTTTTTACATTTAATTTCATATTTTTACAACTGGAAAATGCCTTAAAAACAGATGGTTGGTTTTGGAAAACTCTGTGATACTTCCAAAAACAAAACCCAAGACAAAACAAAACTTTGGGAAAGACTCCTTAGAACTTCCAGGGAGCAAGGAAGTCAATACAACACAGCCAACCTACTGCATGAAGGAATGCTGAACTCGTGGAACAGGTCTTTTCAGATATAAATTACCAGTCTTTCAAATGTCTCCAGTGATTGGCTTTTAGATTAGCTATAGTTATTTAGAATAGTTATTATGTCTTAGACTGTATCACCACAGAACAAACACTGTAGTTTGTTCTGAACTAACAGCCTTCACCCTCCTAAGCAATCTACAAGGGCTTGGCTCAAAATACATCTGTCACTGTGGCTCTCAAAAAAGCAGAAGTCTCAAAGAAGTTCCTGGAAACTACTAGTTAGGACCCTGTTTCTGCACACCAGCTAGAACAGGTTATTGTGTCTTCCCCAGTATTTCAGACCCGTTAGGGAGCTAATCCTAGCAGCACTGGTCACTGCAGGTCCAGGATGGTCATAGCTGGACTCCTCTGAGCAAATGCCCACACAGAGCAAATAGTGTTTTCAGTGACTTGCCAAATTCCCCCTTGAAATGGATAACTCAAGTATGTGATTTAATTTCTGGGGCCCTACGGGAGGTATTTGCCTGAAAAGAGCAAGCTAGCCAGTCCTTGAGAACTGAAATAGCATTATATTAAGGTGGAATCAAATGTTCTTGCCATTCCTAGACACAGACTATTTCTGCAAATGTAAGAGGACCTCAGTCACCTCTCGTTCTGGAAATGTAACAAGGCCATTCACAGACAGGCTCTGCCTGAACGTTGCCAATTATTTTGTAAAATGCTTTCTGAACATGTTAGCAAAATTTTTTGAGCACACATACAACTTTTTATCCTTTTATAAAGCATACCAAACACTAGTTTCCACCTACCTAATGTATTATCCAAGGTAGAACAGCTCACACACAGGTCAAGAACAAATAAAGACAAAAGAAGAAACTATTTACTTTGCAATCCAATAAAAAGATATATTCACTGACTAACAATACCAAGTTTAGGTTGGGCCTTAAACAATTAAAACATGCCCCAGAGTACTGTAATAAAATTGTGACCTGGCCTCTGAATACATTTAAAGATTCTTTCTGACATACACTTCAGAGGTAATAGCATAAAGGTACAATAAGCAAAATGGTTTTCCTCCTTTTTATCTTCTACCCCCATGGCAGAAATTCAGGAAAGGCCTAACTTATTCATGAAACATGAAGCTGGACATACAGCACCAGCTCTAACTGCTGCTTCCAAAACTGAGATCAGCTACCTGGGCATAACCATCCAGCTCCATTAAGAGCTTCAGTTACATCCATATATTGCTTTTAGTGCCACAGATGAAAATATTTTCTGCAAGTTCAAAGTAGGACATGACACATTGCCCAGGAAACTGCTGGTCATGTCACTTTCACTGGAAAAAGTTAGATGTACATTAGCATTGGGAAGCTAATCAAGACTTTGATAATGCTGCTGATTTCACTCACAGCTGCTCTACAAAGAAAAAAGTTTCAAGGATAGAAACTAATCAAAGGGAAAGAATTTTTACTTTTTTTTTTTTATCTGCATGCAAAGATTCCTAAACCTGAAAGCAGAAAACTCCACACATTAATCCAACTCAGGTTTGTGTTTCAGGTCCTCTTCTCTGTAGAGCTGAGCCTATTTCCATTAGGATTAATTACCATTCAAGGCAAATAGATAATGTGGTTCTTCCTGGTCCCCATAATACCATGAGGCCCTAAAGAGCTGCTACAGAATTGACTAAAGTTACTCACAGTGTCCTGGCAGAACTAGAGGTCCTAGTGCCAGAACTGCCAACAGATAGCAAAGGAGAGTGCAGCCACCACCTACATTTGAAACTTTACCACTAGAACCACAACACAAGTACAGAAACTTTTTTTTTTTTTTGTGGAATGCACACTGTTCACCCAAATCCCAGTTCACCAGGAGATAACTGGACAATATTGTGATGATTCCTTCAGGCATTAGTATCATGCAAAGTATGAATAACATCACTTGTTAGCACAGCCAACAGCATAAAAGGAATCAAAAAACTAGACTAGCAAAGACATGCAGTGTTTCACTTCAACTCTGGCTGCTCCTTCTCTTCTTGGCACGTAGCCATCACTTCCTTTCTCCAGGTTTCCTTTACACAGCACTGAGAGGTTTCCCCTTTCATCTCTTCTCACTCCCAGATTGTTCCTCTTTCAAACATGCGTGACACAAAATCTGAAATAAATATCAGTGCCTGTGATATGCAGCAGAGTGTAGGCACTTCAAATCTACCTGTCCACAAATAAATCCTATAGGAAAGGATTGCCAAGACTTTGTTCCTGTATACTGGTGTTGTATTTGCACAGGAACCCTTTTGTGCTGATCCTACCTGCTCTCCTGCCCCTATTCAATGTGGTAACTTAAAGCCACCAGGACTTTGCTTCCATCAATCCAGTAGTGCCCAGCCAAAGTGCAGAAGGGGTGGCAGAAGGCAAGCGCTGGTGTGCTCCTGGATCTCACCCTGGTTTGGGTTTGGGACACACTCAGGGTGTAGATCCAATCTCAAAATTGTGCTTATCACTTCCATTTAGTTAAAGCCCTGCAAAGTCAAACAACCCACCCTCTAGGGATGGGTGAAATTTACTCACACTCTCCTTCTCATCACCTTCATGACTTGTGAAGAACTTCCTGAAACCAATGAGGGTTATTCCATAAATGTCTAACATTGTTATCAATCCTCCCAGCATCACCACCAACAGTATAGTCATTCAACACTCCAATTCCATTCAAACCTGATCAAAAGGAACATACAACATTTTTCAGCATAATGAAGCAATGAGAAATTACAGTACCTCAGTTTTTAAGGAGAGTCCACTGTTAAAGAATATAGTTGAAACGGCAATGTAAGTTATGGTAATCTCTGGTTTCAAGGGTCCTAAAAAATATAGACATAGAGAACAAAGTGAACTACAGTCAAAGAGATAATGATATGTATATAATATATCAATATAAATGAGAATACTTAGAAAAATACCTGGGGAAAAATCTAATCAGTAAAGTCTCCCATAAAAAGAAGAGGGTTTGAGTTACAGAAAGCATTTTTAAACAGCAGCAAAGCAGTGAGTGGAGAATGAATTATGATGTCATACAAATTTGGCTTCTGTAAGTAGAGGCCACTGGGAACTAACAGATAAATTCTGGAAATTTGAAAATGGAGAATTTTTCACAGTCCTGTGATCAGACCATCCCTACAGCAAACTCAAACAAAAATACCAGCCGATACCTTCACAGGGCCAGTGGTACCACTCATGTACCTACCTCTCACTTCTTGCCCTACCACACACACACCTGTCTGACTAACTGCACATCACATCTTGCAGTGATTTCCTCAAGGGCAATACAGTTCTGCACCATTCCCCCACAACAGGGCTAAGGCAAAATGGAAAAAATTCCAGCCCTACAATGACACATTTCAGATGCTGCTGCTGCTGCTGTGAGCCCAGCACGGGCAGATAGCTGCACCTCCAAGGGTTCCACTATATTAAAGGCTTACATTTGTATGTGTTTATATAATTATTTTTTTCCAGGGAGATTAAAATCAAAGATTTTTTATGCTCCCATAAAAATGATGAATTCTCTTAATACACTTTGTCTTCAGTGTGCCACCAAGCACAAAATGTATACACTCATTTTTTTCATGAGCATTGAACCAGGTGTTATAGTAAGAAGAAAATATTAGCAGTCTGCTTAGGAGCAAAGTAATATCCTAACTCTACAAGTGACAGTAAGTTGTCATGAGCAAAACTGCAGCAGCAAACGAGCAAGCCTTTCCTCCACACTCCAGAAGAGAAGAACCTTTCTGCTCCCTCAGATGAATGACACATTGATGGTCACACTGGAGTGAGGTCAACGATCCTTAAATTAGAGGGTGCAAATCAAATTTGCATCTCAAGTCATTTAAACCCAAATCCTACACTCAGAGAGAGCTCTGTGGATGAGACACTGAAACTGTGTGTGTAAAACACAAAGCAAAAAATTCAACCAAACAACATATATGAGCTGTGAAGTAAAAGTAAGACAGGAAATGCAAGAGTTAACATTGCAACAAAGCACACGGCTAGTTGCAAAATTATGGCATGTTAACTGAATAGATAGGGAGGAGGGAAAAACCAAGTCAGAAAGATAGCTGTACAGATATATAGCTACACATAAAACTGTACTTTATATACACACAACTATATATTTTTTCTAATCTTTTACAAGATTAGAGCATATAGGTACATGCACACACACACTAGGCAGACAGGCAGTGGGTTAGTCTGGCTACACTAGGGGTTCTTCCAGGACTCACTGGTTCTATTTTACTGTTTTTCACTGGGCTACCTGAACTCTTTTTCACAGGAGAAACCTAGAGCAATCACACACTCATGGAGCACAGGGAACTCTGGTTGCAACAGATCCTCTTCATCTCCGGCCGTTTGCTGGTCAGAAGAGCTCTTTTCACACTAAATGGGCTCATTTTTCAAGTAAAAAAAACACACAGAAAGGGCTTGGCTTCTATCCCAGAGGTGACAACAGCACAGATCTTTATTTATGGCACAGTGTTCCCCTGGAATAGATGCTGGACCATCCATATGGTTCAGTAAGGCCCTGCAATTTTCAGTGCATGATTTTGTCAGCTGGAAGATGACAAACTAAGCTGAAGTTTTTTTCCTATGTTGTTATTTCTCACTCCTCACCCCTTTCATTTTCTGGTTTTAAAAAGAAGTGGGTTTATTCCCTCAGAGCACTGAGATGATTCAGAGAGGGGATACCACTTTGGGGAACACGTGCTCACTAGTTTCAATCGATGCTTACAAGAGTTTTCAAGCAAGTTGTCCCAGGAACAATACCAGGTCAAAGCCTGACATCTCTTTGAGTAGGATAATTAAATGAAGTGCTCCATGGTAGTGCTTCCATGCAGGAAGTAAGCTGAGGAAAAATTATCTCCTATTCTACTGAAAAGGATCTCCCACATTGCTGCTAACAATCGGTGTGACAGTCAAACCAGAAAGGGACAAAACACCTGAAACTATCCGTTTAGAGTTGTCTCTATGGTCTGCTGAAAACACAGCATGGATCCTGCAAGAAGCTCCACGTGGGTCCTATTCACCTATGCAAAAACAGCACACAGATGTTAGAAGGGATCCTTGCACAGCAGGAACTTGCCTACCCTGAACTCCAGGAGGTACCGGAGCCTTAGTGGTCACAGCAAGTGTTCAGAGCCATGTTTGTTTAAATCATTAAGAGGGGGAAAAAAGGCTGGCTCCTCAGTGAGAAGCTGTCTATCCTCAAACTCCAGCTCTGTTAAGGAAAAATAAAAATGAAATAAACCAACAATCTAAGTGTATAAAAGCACAGCTGGATTCTTTTTCCCTTCACATAATGCTGAATTGCTAAAGGAATCCTGTTCAAACGTTCTTGCCTTAAATCTTCAGAGAACAATTAGGAAAAAGAAATGTAACATTTGGCTTGCTCTTGAAAATAGGGAACATCTGGAGCTGAAGTTGCAATGGAAACTAACCAGGAGATGCTGCTGCTGCCACCATTGAAACTTACAAGAACATTGTGTATGTTCAAGTAACACAGGATATGTCTTCAGCTGGTTACAAAGAAACATACAACTACTCTGGAAACAATCTGCTCTGGTGGGAGGTGTCCCTGCCCAGGCAGGAGATTGGGACTAGATGATCTATAAAGTCTATTCCAACCCCTTAACGTGCTACGAAGCTCTGATACACAACCTCACTGCTCAGCAGAGAACAGACCTTTCTTCTGCTTTGCTCCCTCTAAGCATTTGACACCACTTTGCACAGGATCATTTTCACTGCTTTCCCTCACCTTTCACGAGGAAGAAAGAAGAAAAAACATTACAAAAAAATACACCTGAAAACTTTAAAATACAAGTGTGTTGCTATAAAGTAAAAGAAAACATCTGGTTGAAATGCACCACTTCAGCATTTACCTTCTGCTACACCTGTGGGGAAGCTCACACAGGACAGACATCCCAAATATTAAAGCTGTGATGAGTTTTACGCCCAGACCTCTTTTTTTTTTTTTTTCCCCTTGGTTGGAAAAGACCTCCAAGATCATCAAGTCCAACCCTACCCTGGTTACTAGACCATGGCACTAATTGCCACATCCAGTCTCAGCTTGAAAACCTCCAGGGATGGGGAATCCACCACCTCCCTGGGCAGCACGTTCCAATGCCTGAGCACTCTCCCTGTAAAAAATCTCTTCCTAATATCCAACCTAACCCTCCCCTGGCAGAGCTTGAGTCTGTGCCCTCTTGTCCTGCTGCTGGTTGCCTGGGAGAAGAGACCAGCCCCCACCTGACTCCAACCTCCTGTCAGGGAGTTGCAGAGGGTGAGAAGGTCTCCTCTTCACCAAACCTCTCGAAGTTCCCACTTCATTTCGCAGGACTATAGCGGGAGTAAGTCACATCACTCTCAAACCACAAGGAGGAGAGCAACCCCCCAGCCAACACACACAGGGATACACCTGAGAATATTTCGTGACAAGCAGCACAGGGAGATTCGCACGAACCAGCGAAACGTCCACCCGTGCCCTAACCCCGCGC